CTGTGCACAGTGTACGCACTCAATACACAATTAATAGTCTGCTGGGTGCCTGGGCACTGTTAGAGACAACGAAATGTTTTGGCAAACCACTTAGCGGCAACTGCCAACAAAACAGCTGCGACTAGATCATAGTGATTCGTGCACTTGACTTGAAACCTTTTCTAAACCAAAGCTCAGGGCCTAATGGAAGTGCATGTGGGACAGACATACATGTAATAAACTGCATGTTACGAAGCCGCTACTTGGTCATTGGCCGCCAATATCAAAATCACGACGCACAGAAGTAACACTTACAAAACTAAGGAGAGGTGATACATTCACTACACATTCACACCAGTTGTCTGGGGGCGATCTACCCTTGTGTGAGAGATGTGGCGAAGCACTAACAGTGCTACACATTTCAATTCAGTGAAAATAATTAGACATGCTCAGAGAACAACATTTTCCACGACAGTTTCCGCTTCAACCTGCAATGTTTGTCGGTAAGGAACCGCTTTTTAGACATAAATCGCTGTTCGAATTTTTAAGAGGCTTAGGTACATTTCATGTCATACCCGGGCCTTCCGTTGCATGACCTCTGAACTGAGGTCGCTGCTGCGATGGCTACATCCCCGCCATACTTTTATTACGATCTTTCGCCATTAATTCTCACTATATGTATTTCTTGTCACTGTCATGATTTTAACGCTTCTATGTTTTTACCCGCTATAGCGCAAGGAATTTTAAGTCCCTTATACAGCCACCTCTCATAACCTATATTCGCATCTCTTGACCCACGACCTGGCGCTCTTTGGTCATCCAATTGCCCTTGCGCCATGAAACACCACACATCATCATCATCAAATGATGATGACACGTTCAATTGATGAAGAAAAGTCAGTGACTGTGCTCACACTAATTCCCTGTCACGCTGAAAGCGATCTCCTGGCCGCACGACAGATAGTATTAGAAATTAAGTTGTGTATTGTTATGCCCGAGGCATGGTCCTCGTTCGGGAGCGCTTTATCTCGCGAGAACAAGTAGAGTTCCGGCGAACTCCGCCCCCCCCCCCTCCTCCCAGCGCCACCTTCCATGCAGATGCCACCGAGCCACGTGCAATTAGAGCAAAGACTTCGTCTCCTCCGCCGAGCCATCGTGCAGTTGCAAGGAATGCTGCGCCTCCTCCGCCGAGCCCCGGGAACTGGTCTCAAAGGAAAGACAAAAAGAAAAACGTTATTTAAGGCCGTACCGGCCCGATGATTCGGATTTTTGCCCGTTCCGACGTTCTCGTGCTGGATGTCTCTGTACAAACGATAAGGTGCTGCTATAAACGTTGCTACCTGTTTTGCTTCACAAAACGTTATCCTCCTATTACGCCTCTGGGTGAAAGCTTCAGCTACGTTCGCTCGGCTGCTCGCCACTCTTGCCTACCGCTACCATCCCAACACACCGATATCATAACAGTGATGGCAGCGGTGGGATGCCATCAAACCCGAATTCTTACCAATGGTTGGCAGCTTCGGGGTACGCTACCCTACGTTTGGCAAGTGTGATCATATCTCTGAGCACGACGACGACTGCCGTGATAGCGTTTGGCTACGTTGGGATACGCTACCATATATATATATATATATATATATATATATATATATATATATATATATATATATATATATATATATATATATATATATATATATATATATATGTTTGGCACGCCGGATTGGACCCATGGAAGCTCGAGCACACGACCGAGCTGATATCAGCGTTTGGATACGTTGGAATACACTGCCCTGTTCTCATCGTTCGGCAAGCTGGGATAAGCTACCCCGGACTTCAACATTGGCAATTCGGACCGTATCCCTGAAGGTCAGAGGACTCCTACGACACTCTTCAACGGCAGCCACGACTTGGAGCATTGTCGGCTACTTTGGTTGGGTGAGTGCCCAACTTTTACTACTCATTTCGCCAGACCTCTCTTGCACAGGTAGATGTTAGGAGTGCTTCGTGTTTTTTGTTTGCTCTAAAATATTATTCACGTACTTTAAACCATGAGATTAGTTTTAGAAAACGGTAAATATCAGTAGTGGAGCATCACGAAGAACGAGATCGCGATGGAGATGTAACTTGCGTAGAATATCCTTGAAATTTGTGGAGCCACGAGGATTTTCACCGGGTCCGCTAAAACAAAGGAAGCGATTCCTGACCTGACACAGGCAAAGAATGCGACTGCCGATGAGACTGACGAATTTTGGGAGCTCATTTGTGAGCAAAAGGAGAAGGCCGAGAAGAGCCGCGAGGAGCAAAACGCCGACAAACGTCACAAAAAGCTCAAATCTCAAAGACGCGAACAGTGGCAGGCCGAGGAGAGTCGAGAAAGGAGAGAGCATGCACTCAAAATGAGATAGCTTGATTGTAAAATTTAAGCATTTATGTGGCAGCAAGCTAAACGCAAGCTCCGCATTTTTCAAACAGGTGTGAACATAGCGCATTTTCTTTATAATTTTGAAGTTGTCTGCGGTGATGTTGGTGTTGGGCGAGACTTTTGGTTGGAGACGCTTGCCACGTTGCTTCCGTGAAAAGTTGCAAGCATTTTGGAGCGCTTATGCGCCGAGGAAGTGCATGGCTTTGATAGGGTTAAACACGCTTTGTTTGGCCACATTGCTGCCCTGAGTCCTGCCGACTGCGAAAGTCGAGAGTACATCACTGAAGCGCGCAGCCAAGCACTAGAAATTGAGGCCCATCGCGAAGCGGACGCCGACTTGCGTCCGATAGAGCGAGATAAAGCGCGGCGTAAGGCGATAGCAGTGGAAGGGTGTGAAAATGAGACTCGCCGAAGAGCGCTACAAGTACAAGCGCGTCGAGAAGCGTGTAAAGATAAGGCATGCCGAAAAGCTATGGAGATTGAGACCCGTCGCGAAGCACAAGCCGCTGAAGTGCGCCAGAAAGAGCGGGATGCCGAGGAGAGTAGCGAGCCGCCCAATATTGAGGCCCGTCACAAGGTGCAAGACGTTGAAGTTCGTCGGACAGAGCCAGACGACGAGGTGGATCGCGAGGAGTCAGGCGCCGAGGCCCATGGCATAGCTAAAAACGCCGAGGTGCAGCATAAAGCGCTAGACACGGGGCCGCTTCGCAGCACACATGATCAGGATGAATCGCGTGTAAAAGAGCTTGATGAGGAATCGCGTTACAAAGCGCTAGAGGCTGACGACTGTCGACAATAGCTTGAGCAGGATGCGTGACATAGAATGGTAGAGAATAAAGCTATTCAAAGAGAGCAAGAACATTCAGCGCTCAGCGGTTATTAAGACTCTGACTCACTGACGTTTTTTTTTAACCGAGCTCACTCGAATGGAGACTCTTAGAGATATTGCTTATCCGGACTCACTCAAATTGCGGATTACATTATTTCGATCTGAGTCTAAGTGAGTCTGCGTGACTTGACTCATGAGTGAGTTTGCTGACCTATTATTTTCGTGCGTTGCATTTGCAGTACGAGTTGGTGGTGAGAGTTATGATGAAGTGAATAACGTATACCTCGTGCTGTCAATCGCGAAAGAATCGCCATTTTCCAGCCAGTGGAAGCTGACGATGTGGGCTGATGTAGTTCGCGATTTCAAATCGGATAGACTACTTCTGCTTGCATAAAAAATAAGCAGGAGATTACGGAGGGTCCGATAATATATACCAGTTTTCTGTAATAAACAGCAAAAAAATGAATAAAAGATGACATGCGTACGCGAACCTCCAGCAATGTCATCGCATGGATGAAATCAACAATGGTTGACAAGCTTCTCGTTACTGATGGCTTAGTCAAAGCAAAAATAATTCTTTAAGGCCCCCCAAATGAACATCGCAGGTTGCAAGGTCAGCAATGCCTTGTTTCAATATTAAAAAAAAGAAAAACGGGCAGCCATCTCGCTTTGGGAAAGGTGATGTACAGCGAAGCTGTATATCAATCATGCGCGCTGAGATGAGAGGTGAGTGGGAGGTATGTTTTAGTATTAAGTAATACTAGTGGTGTGAGAATAATTTTCTGGTTGCTTTGGTAGATTTTAATTGACTCCGTGACCATTTCCGTAATTTGAAGGTTCTGTGTTGACATACAACTGAACGAAAGGATTTTTCATCCGCTTTGCTATTATTAGATTCAATTGACAAGCATCACAATACGGGTAAAGGAAGCACAAATAATGTCTCTTGTGCGCTACTTGGCCTAATAGTTCTTGCTTAACGGCACGAGAAAATTTCGGTTTGATGCCTTACAGCTTCGTCAATTCAAATAGAAGTAAAAAAATATGCAAACTGAAGAACCCTAATATTAGTTGTCCACCCTGTGCAAGCTAAGAGTATATAATTCACCACCGCCTGTAGTTTACTGATTTTAACGTGGCCTTCTCGCGTCGCAATTCACGTATGTCAGTGCGTCCTTAGTGAAGCACCGGCAACGAAAATTCACAAATGCTGCAAACTACCAGGCAGGAAACAACAGCGTTGGGCATTCTGACGTTCACCATTCATGCGTTCAACTTGCGGCCATGACGTGGACGCCAGAGAGGTGGTCGTGCATGTTTACATCACCGCTGGTGCTCTATTGCTCACAGTCCTTGTATTTCTTGTTGTTTTCCATCGAAAAATACCCAACCGTGCAGTCCGTCGTACAACATTTTTATAGTTCACGTAGTCATGCTCAGTTCGGAAATTTCTGAGGCTCAGTGGTCAAGTTCTTAGCGGAGTGCTGCAAACAAATACTTCAATGTTATCTTGATGAGCGAAAGTCGAGGTTGATTCAGAATTAAAGCGTCCTGCCGAAAGGCTTAGCTGCTCAAGGTGTCATAATTAGCGGAAAGCAGAGGTGGATTTGAAAATGTATCAGCAATTGGAAGAAGGACATGCCTTCGGCTGCTACGCCCGCGTCTGTACGATGCCTTTTGTGCCTCCTAGCATGACAGCAAGCCAGAACTTATGTTCTGCGCAGCTACATCTTAATACAAAACCTTGAACTCAACTTCGATGCTTACCGTAGGCGATGGCCACACAGCACAACAAGAATATTGCTTTCTGCATCTTGGGAATTTTGTGTGTCGCCCGTAGCGGCACCCGCTGGTCTGTGAGAGAAATCCGCAAACCCTAATCTTACATATAAAGACCCCTCGTCGCTGGCCTTGGACGAAAATGTACTTCATTGAATGAAAACATGCACGCATGGGCCATGACACGTCACACCTGTGGAAGAAAATAAAAGCAAAACCGAGTTTGTTTGTTTTGTGCTTGGATCCACAGTTGTGCACACCTGTCTCTTTTGTCCGTCTTCCAGGCATGTCGAAGTACCTAAATGTAGACGACAGGTTCGCGGCCCCCTCATTGTTTCAAGTAGTTGTTCCTGGACTTTTACAATCTATTGACTTATGATACTGGGACCTGCTTTCGCATTGATTTCTAGAAATGTGACCACCAGGCGTTTGGTGCGTAGCCACACTATGGTCCGGGCTAGCGCGGGCTATAGACCAGGCCTTCTCACACACTTTGACGTGTACGGCTTATCCTTGGTCGGGGAAACTCTACACTGTGGTTTGAGCCGATGTCTAATAAATGGTCGTGGAAGGACCCTGGAAGAGGCAACGGTGCATCGGCTTCACGTAGGTGACGGCACGTCGGCGCTAATCCGCCCAGGGGAAATGCCCAGTCACTTTTATTCTTATTTAGCCTTTGTAATCTTTCACTACCAGTTTTAACCGCACATTGCCACACTTGAATATTCTGCTCGGGGTTTCAATACAACGCCAGTTTGTGGCAGCACTGCATTCGTGCTTTTTTTCTTGTCCGGGTGTTTAAATTTAGCTGCAATCATTTGACAGCTTTTCCTGTCGACATTCCTGCTAGTGTTGCCAGATGATACTAAGGAGACAAGTAAATACTCATCACAAAACAGCCCCCCTATCCCCCCCTCCTCCCCCCCTAAAACGAGAACATGGTGAATCTTTCCATTCTTCAAAATATAATAAATTGTGATTTTAAGAAATGTTCCTCAAATACGTAGGAGAGTTCAAAGATTAGCAAATCGTTTAGCGCAGCGAAAATATGCGCAGCTATTAACGAATATAAGCGCATTGCTAATTTTCTTGACATTTTCTGCAAGCCGTGCAGTCTCCATTTTTTGAATTCATGTTTTCCTGTGCACAATCTACGTTATTTGCTGACCCCTAACGTACGTTCAACTTCACGACTAAACCATAGCAATGCTAATAGGCGGTATGGTTAAAAATAACGTGCCTCTCTACTCACCTAATGGGTGGGGCTGCGAACGTCGCCCTATGTAATACTAAGCAGGACGGCGTGGAGGGGGCACTGCAATGAACCTTTGCCCTCCCTCCCTCTTCCTTCCTGGGTGGGTAACCCTGCACAGGCCTATACACTTCTGTATTTCAAGTCATGGAGAAACACGCTATAAGTCACCGACGATCGCGCATTGGCGAATCACTAAAATAATTATATTTGTTGGGAAATGCAAACAAGCGACCTCTAGAAAACGCGATAGGTGACTGGAAAATTCAACAAGCGACTCGACGATAAAAGAAACCCAAATCCGCTTATTGGCAACTCCACTATCTACTCACATCTAGGTCTTTATGACGTACTCTTAAATACTTCGTCTCTTTTCTCTTCCATTAACATCTGATTTTCTGTTGGCTAGGGCAAAGGTTTCGTGATGCGGCCTGCATGGGTCGCTCATTGCGTTATAGCACTGGTGTACTGCTTGCGTGTGCGTGTTGGCGCATTTGCCTTTTGCGGTGTCGTCGCCTTCCTTTGTTGGACGTGGTAGTGGGTTGGTAGTTTGCGAAACTTTATTGTGGTCCTGCAAGGCGCGCGTCAGAGCTCAGCGGGCGACTCCCACGTCGGGACCGTTAGACCAAGCCTATCGGCCGCTCCGTGGACCTGCTGGACGGCCCAAAGTTGGTCGGCCAGGAGGGAGCTGCGTAGGGCCACCTCCCACCTGACCGATGTAGTGTCGGGGTTAGTGTACATTGCCTTGCACTCCCAGAGCATGTGCGCCAGCGTGAATACATCCCCAAATGCGGGGCAAGCGTCATTGGGGAACACGTCAGGATATATAGCGTGAAGGAATCTCAAGTTAGGGTACACGTCGGTCTGCAGTAGGCTAAGTGTAAGGGCCTGTGGCCCATTAAGTTTTGTATGACGGAGTGGATATAGTGTTTGCGCGAGGTAGAAATGTTTTGTTATTTCGTTGTACGTAGCAGGCGCGTCCCTGTTTTGCTCAACCCCGTTGGCTTCGAATCGCTGCCCGGAAGCGGCGCGGTGGGTTAGCGCGCGCACGGCCTCGTGGGCCGACTCGTTGAGGTTGGGGGGAGCGCCTTAGACCTGTTCAACACGTGCAGAAAACCAGATCAGTACGTGGTGCTTGATACCATCGCAGCCACCGCTCTGGAGCACGCGCAGGGCTTTCTTGGAGACGACACCGCGCACAAAAGCGCGAATAGCTGGTCTATAGTCACTATAGATGACCTCCCTTTAACCTTCCGGGATCTTCAGGGCGATGGCCACTTGCTCGGCAATCGTCGGATCGTCAGTGTGAACCCATGAGCAGGTGGTATTGGATGGCAAGCATCATTGCGGAACGTACAGCTGTGGCCGCGTCTGTGTAAAGCACACGAGCAGCCGGCTTTTGTTGGGCAGGGTGACGCCTTGCGGCAGTTACAGTTTCTGACGTGGTGTGTCAGGAGCATGTAGTCTACTCGGCTGATCACTTCAGAGCCCGGAACCACCTCAAGGCGTCGCCCTGCCGACCAAAGTCGCCTGCTCGCACGAGCTACCAGACGTGGCTATGGCTGTACATTATCTGTGTTGTGGAATCAGCCTATCTTCTACTGTGTGGTCGTCTCCTTCGCTGTAGAGGTGGTTCTCGAAAGGTACAGCTTTTATGCAATGAAATAAACTCCGGTAAAACTTGCACGCTGTAAAATTTCCTGCACAGGCCAGGGCAGGTCTTTGTGCTTCAAGACTAGCCGTTGTTTGCGTACGTAGCATTGCCATATTTACTACAAGAATGACTCGTACTGTGGCATGATTGACGTTAGGTGTAGGCTGGTACATAATTTAGCGGAATGTCCGATATATGTGCAAAATATGTTCGTTGAAACCGATGTGCAAAGGAAATTTCGCATGAGTTAAGCATTTGAAAAAAAAAGTGGCAGATCCCACCTAAAGTGGGAATCGATGATATGCGAAGCACGAATGAGTAACGTTGATATCTCACTTCAACATCGGCACAACGTTACGAGGTGGAAGTAAATGATGCCGTACATGACGTCCGTGTCATGATTATTATGTTTGAATGTGTCGTTTACCTCCGTAATCTATTCACGTCACGTGACACCGAATTTAGTACATGTGGAGCTAGCGAAACGGCCGTCAACACGATATGAGTGTGGCATGTTGTCTTGTTCCTACATGACATGCGTGTCACGATTATCATGTTGGTACCAGTCATATATTTCGTCATCCACTGACGTCACGTAACATCAAATTTGGTATATGTGGAGCTAGCAGAAGGGCCGTGACCCGATCATGAAGGGCTCAATATACTCCAATGTAGCGTTGACGGTGTGCGCATGCTAAGCACAGCGTCGCTTTGTTTGGAAAACGCGAGCACTCTGTAGTCTGACGCCAGGCGCGAGCAGCGTACGTCGGCGTGGCCCGACGGCAACCAGCGCAAAATGTAGCATGTCGCGTTTCGTGCCTGTGCGTTACCCAGACAACACTGTGTTTCTCTCTTTTCGTGACGGAGGGACGCCGGACAACGCAGCGCTGAGCGCGCCTGCGAGTATATGGCAGGACCGGCGCCTGGCGTGGCAACGCCGGCGTGACGTGACGAAATTGACGCTGGCGAGCACGTCCACTGCGTCAAGTTGAAATGTATACTGGCACCTGGACTGTGACATGTAGTCATGTCCTCACATCACAAGCATCACATTATTATCATGTTTGCACTGGTCACATACCTTCGTCATCCATTGGCGTCACGTAATACCAAATTTGTCATATGTGAAGTTAGCAAAGCGGCCGCAAGTGCATATTCAGTGTGGCATGTAGTCATGTCATTACACGACACGCATCTCATGTTTATCATGTTTGCACCAGTATCATACCATCGTCATCCTTTCACGTCCCGTAATTCCAAATTTGGTATAAGTGAAGCTAGCGAAACGGCCACCAGCGCTTCATGAGCGTGGCATGTAGTCATGTTGTTACATGACACGCATCTCATGATTATCATGTGTGCGCCAGTCACATACCTTCGTCGTTCATAGACGTACTGTAATAGCAAATTTGGTAATGTGGCGCTAGCGAAACGGCCTCGAGCGCATCATAAGCGTAGGATGTAGTCATGTTACATGACACGCATGTCATGATTTTTGTGTTAGCGTCTGTCGCTTGTGTTCGCCATGCAATCATGTCATACCATACCAGTTTTTCAACATGCCATGTGAACGAAACCACCGCAAGAGCTGCAGGACCATGAAATGCAAATCATGACATTCGTGACATACATATGATGATTTTCATATTATGACTGATCAGATATGTTCTTCATACAGCCATGCTATGCCATCCCTAGTTAGGCATCGATACCATTATGGAAACGGCCAGGAGAGCTAAAAGTCGTAAGCGGGTAGATAGATAGCATACGCTTAAAGTCGCCGAAGTTCGCTAAGAAATGCTTCGCATTTAAAATAGAATGCGCTGTGTATAGACGTGCAGTAGAGGTTGGTAGCACGTGTACTCAGTAGTGAAAGTTGACACGTCTGTCATTGCCTCTCTACATTTGTACCTGTGCGTTATAGAAAATCTGAAGCACATGAAAAATGGCATAGTAGTGTGTAGGCACAATTTGTTGACTTCTGAATTCGATTATTGATGAGCGCGTTGCAAAATGTGAACAAAATAACATTTTTAGCATAATGTTCAGTTTCAGCACAAGTGAAAAGTAGGAAGTGCAACAGCACTACAGCATAAGGTTTCACGAAGTCAGGCGTATAGAGAATTAAAGGAGTAGAATACTGTTTCACTTGGTACAGAGGTAAGACGAAGTGTCGTGTGAGATGTGACAATGATTAGGGTGAATTTCGCCAA